GGCTGATGACCCTGTCTGGCTCAACACCAAAAAAAAAAAAAGGAAATACGACAAATATCCAGAAGAGCACATGTAATATATATGTACAGTTTTAAATACTTTGGAACAGAACCCTCATGTAACCATTGCCCAGGTCAAAAAATGCCAACATTTTAGATGCCCCTCCTGCCCTCACCACTACATTCCAGATCCCAATCCTCTCTCATCGCCAAAGATATTCACTATCTTGACTGATTACTTCCTCACTTTCTTCATAGCTCTACCATTAACATATATGTACCCTTGAACAGCAGATTTTAGTTTTGCTTATATTTGCACTCGATATAAATGGAATCATACTACATGTATCCTTTTATGATTTGCTTTGGTTTTTGAATCAAAATTATGTTAATAAAAATCCATTAATATTGCTGATTGGAGCTGTTCATTTTAAAAGTTTTATTGAGATATAATTATAACTATTCAACTATAATTCTGCAGTTTTTCAAGAATAAATGGTTTTCAATTTGTTATCTGAAATGGTTGTTTTTGATAATTTTTTCCCCAGTTTTACTTTTTTTTGTAGAGAATAATAATTGACCTCTTCACACTGTAATAACTATAAGTTCCTCCTCTGATTTCTCCATTCATTCTTTGTTACTGCTGTATAATCATCCATTGTATGATTCACTATCTGTGTGTGCTACTGGGGTTGTGCATTCTAGGTGAGGCTATCACAGATGTTCTTGTACTTGTCTCCTAGTATGTGGACATGCATACCTGTGGGTGCAACTGCTGGGTGATAGGCTACATTAGTTATCTATTTCTGCTATAACAAATTAGCACAAAGTTGGTAGCTTACAACAACACAAATTTATTACCTTCCATTTCTGAAGGTCAAAAGTCTCATGTAGGTCTTACTGGGCTAATATCAAGGTGTTGGCAGGGTTGTGTTCCTTCTGGAGGCTCTAGGGGAGAATCCATTTCCTTGCCTTTTCCAGCTTTTAGAGGGTGCCCACATTCCTTGGCTTATGGTCAGTGCCCTTCCATCTTCAAAGCTAGCAATGGCCAGGTGAGTCTTTCTCATGCTGCATCACTCTGACTTTGATTCTTCTACCTCTGCTGTCCATAAAGGACCCTTGTGATTTACATTGGGCCCACTTGGACAATCCAAGATAATCTCTGAAGGTCACGAACTTAATCACATCCACAAAGTCTCTTCTGCCACAGAAGGTAACATATTCACAGCTTCCAGGGATTAGTACAAGGACATCTTCGGGGGTTCATTATCCTGCCTACCACACAGGGCTTTACAGATCTTCAATTATATTAGATAAGGGCAAACTGTTTTCTAAAATGGTTTTATCAATTTACCATAATCCCAGTGATTTCTATTGCTCTACATCCTTGCTAACACTTTGTATTATTGGGGCGTTACACTTTTGCCCCTGTCTAGTTCTGTACACTAATCCTAGGGGAATGAGGAAGAGGAGTTGAACTATTTCCCTTATTACCAGTCATTGATCAACCTTCCCCAAATTAACTGATTGTCTGGAATTAAGCTGCCATCACCTGCCTGGTTTTTCAGGATTGCTTGTAGTAGGCAGGCCCCACCTACTAGATTCCTTATATTTTCCATATTCCATCAGCCCTTTGGCTGTTTAAATAATTCAGTCCTGACTGGGATTCCTCTGAGTCCCACCCTGCCTGTTACACTGGTGTCTTAATGAAATTTGATGATGAGTCTGACTGAACAGTGATAACAGGGTAGTCATGTATATTTGAAGACATGTGGTATCCCAAATAAAAAAGCCAGCAATTTCAAATGAGTAAATCAACTGCACCATTGGTCATGAACTTGAACTTGGCTTACAAGTTAGGGTATTAGGAGGTTATGAGGCCTAAGCAGGAAGAGTCCTTTGAGATGCAAACTCAAAGCTTCCCAGGAGATTTCAAGGTACAATAGGGCTTTAAATGTCAAACAGCAAAGTATGCATTTTCTTGACTTTAAAAACATTTTGCCATGAAAAATACCTCCACTACAGTCAATTTGATTTTGAAATGCACTCAAGGAATTGTTCACGTTGGTGCTCCTTGTAAATATTGCAGTATTCAATACTGAATCTCACTTTTCAGGTAGAAGCATAAAACCCAGAGGGAGTGCTGGAGTGCACCTCTCAAAACGTACAATTTTACCAAATACAACTTCAATTCTCCTTTGTGCACTGGAAATTTTCAGCACAGGCATGATGCCCAGTATAACAACAAATAAAACAGATGTGCTTTTCCATTCATATTTATTAGGAAGTTTCATATTAAGCAGTTCAATAATCGTACAAGAAATGTCATCTACATGCTGAAATATTACTATAGATTGATACTGGGAAAATTGTCCTGAGGGTAATGTATGCCTGGAAACTAAAGCATCAGCAGAAAATACAGACAATCTATAACCAGCAAGTTTCACAGTGAGTAGCTCAATAGAATGGAAGCAGAAACGTTGGCCAGAACCCTTCCAAGATGTCTGTCAGAACATGAAGGTCGGGATGTTCATCATCAGAGCCAGAATACTTAAGATCCATTTCTGATGGTATCAGGATGGTTGGAGTGGCCTCGGCCAGGGAAAGAACCCCAGTGGAATACCAGCCATGTCAGAGGCCCTCCCCAAGAGGTAGCCAGGGGCTTAGAACTAGGTGGCAATAAATGAGAAGGAGGGGTTGTTTAGCCTTTGTTGGCTAGAGGTCTGGAGTGAGTCATGAGGCAGGGCCCCAAACAATATCTTCACTTAGCACCTCTCTCCTCTGGTTTTCCTGTTTTCTCCTCTAGTTTTCTAAATAAAAGGCATTTTCACATTTCCACCTTAACCCTTTCCCTTTCTCTACAAGCCTTCCTGCTGTTCCATCCTCTCCCAGTGTATTAACTCACCATTAAGTGAAAGATTTCCAATTACATAGCCACATTTTTCACTTTTCCCTGAACTTCAGTTCTGCTTGGTGAATTTACATTGGGCCCACTTGGACAATGAGTTGATTTACTCATTTGAAATTGCTGGCTTTTTTATTTGGGATACCACATGTCTTCAAATATACATGACTACCCTGTTATCACTGTTCAGTCAGACTCATCATCAACTTCATTGCTCCCCAGACAGATATTTTTATGTACCCTTTCAAGCTTGTTTTCCCTCCTGGGCTCCCTAATGATACAGATGGTACCTCACATTTAAACATCTAAAAGAGGGCTCCAACCTGGTCCCTTTCAGTTTGGCCTCCTGCTGAGAATTTGCATTTCTACCCCAGATATACTGAATCTGATAGAATGAAACAGTTTGCAGCCCTCATCTAAACATCTGTTCTTGACACTACCTTCCAAATGATCTTTCTGGAAGAGCACTCTGATCACATCACTTATCTGTTTCAGAACTGTCCATGACTTACGGAATAAAGTCCAAACTCCCTTTCTTGGCATCAAGTCCCTCTGGGACCTAACATTAGCTTGCTTCATCATCATGTCCATCATTGATTCATACTCTTAATATTTCACCCAAATAGTAACTGCTTACATTTCTTATTAGGTGCCAGCTGCTGTGCATTAGGCATCATCATATTTAATCCTATAAGGTAAATATCACTAGAAGTTCCATTTTACTGACGTGAAAAATGGGCTTAGAGAAGGTAAGTGAGTTGCCCAAGGTCACACAGCTGGCAGTGTGGGCACTGGAACTCAGGGATGTCATGGACTTAGCTCTGCTGTCTCACAAGCTGAGGTCCTCCTCTCCATTCCCAGGATGGGCCTTTTGGCCAGTGTTATCCTGAGATGTCCACTCCTCTGCCCTAATTCTTACACATCAAAGCCCTATTTGATCCTTACAGTTAAGTCCAACTGTCACTATCTCTACCAACACTTCCTTCATCCCAGACAGATGTGGGTTTTCCTCCTTAATTCTCACAACCTCCATGTTGTACCTTTTTCATAGCAGTTATCATAACTGTCATTCTATTTAATTCCATTCTGGTGACGAGGGTGGGGGCATCTTGTCTCTCCCTTTGCTGGCTGCACGTGTCTTGAGGTCAGGGACTGTCTTACCACTATTGGTATCTCATGATCTTAAGGTCATCACACCCATTAGGCAGTCAGTGAATGGCTCCCTCTACGCGGAGGTTTGGGTGGAGAAGCTCAGAGCAGAGCACCAATGGGGCCTGAAAGCACACCATTCCTATTTTTCCACTAGTGTCTAAACAACTAGGAAAGTGCAAGCAAAAGGACCCATTAACGGTATTCTCAATGTTCCAATTCAATGTAAACAAAAATGAATCTGCAACACAGTATTGACTCACCAGTGTTAATAAAATGGAATATTTCAGTCAGCAAGTGGCAAGAAATAAATACCCCTACTAAGAAGACTACCGAGAGAAATGTACCACCTACGCTCCCAAATAGACACACACACACACACACACACACTACAAGTGAACACACAGGAGGGCTGCTGGAACATTTTGTTCCTTTTACATTTTTTTCCAGTCTTATATTTGCAAACCAAGCCCCACAAATCAAGCCTCCTCCTTAGGCAGAGCTGGAGCAGTGAGGCTCCCCATATGTCAGGACTGGAAGGCAATTATGCTCAGTGCAGAGCTGCATCATCACCTTGACTGGCTGGGAGGCAGCCCTTTGGTAGGTCAGATGAACCAGGAAACCTGAGCGACAAGGGAGTGTCTATCTGCTGCAGCACCATTGCTGTACAGATTCACATCTGTTCGGGCCCTGACTCTGTGGCTGTGATGCGTGAGGTTTCACATTCTTTTCTTCACCACAGCTGTGTGATTTGCAGCTCACAGAGAGTCTCTAGGACTACCAGCTGCTCCCAGTCCCACCTTCCCCTACAAATGGCAAAAAAGTTTGCAGAAAGAAACTCTTTCTCTGTCATAGGAGCCTTTCCCTGTGCCCAGAACATCTGTGCAGGAAGATGATCTCACCCTCTTATCATAACCCAGGGAACAAGTCCAGAGAGAGTCAGGTACCTTCTGGCCGTGGTTTTGGCTTTTCTAACCCTCCATCTTGCATGAGCTCAAAGGCAAAGGTGACATTCAAGACCTGGAAAGAGAAAAGAGGCATGCAGTGCATAAGTCACTTTGCACTCATTCCTAGACCCCTAGGGTTTCCTGAGAATTGCCTCTGGGAAGTGAAGAAACCCAATGCTGTAGCCCAGAGGCTAAGTTCAGAGGAAGCCATACTTTGGAGAAATGTGGCTAAGGAAATGGATGGGCGTGCTGATCCCAGTCTGCCACTGATGAAGCATTCTTGCAGAAGCTCAATGCCTTCTTCCTGTCCCACAGTATTCTTGTGTCAACTGCCAGGACTTTAAACTGTCAGTGCACTTACTTGAAAGGATCAGATTAGAAGACATGTGTAAGAGGCAGAAAAGAGTTTTTGTTTTGGACCAAATGCTTCTGACCTAGGCAGCAGACTTAGGCAGCCTAAGACAGGTCACTACAGCTTGGATGGGTATAGACCTCGTGCCTGACCTGCTCTGCAGTCACTTTCCCTGCCACCCTGGGGGAGAGATGAGGCCGGGCTGTGGTGCCTGGCAGGAGCATATGACAGTGCTGTGGGGGAAGGCAGACTGCTCAGGGTAGGGTGGTTCCTTCCCAGCTCAGCTGCTCATCAGGATGGGTGCCCACTTCTAGTCACTGAAGACCCTGGGCCAGAAGGGAAACTGCCACCCCGCTCCTGACCGTGCCAGGGTAGGTGTGGCAGATGAGTCAGGGGATGTGGCTAGGGGTCTCCCTTGACAGACCCACCCCTTACCTTCTGTTCAAAGCTGTCTGGGGTCAGGAAGAAGCTGTGCAGAGGCACAAAGTAGCCCTCCAGGAGCCCCATGAGCAGCACCAGATACACTCCATCTGCAAACTGGAGGGAGAACGGGGCAAGCACTGAGTTCTTGAGCTTCTTAGTCCCATCAGCTTCCCTGTTGTCCCTACCGCAAAAGTCCCCTTCTAGAGAGCTGATGGTGAAGACCGGAGGGCAGTGGCCCAAGGCAGGGAGGTTCGCTCTGCAACAAGCTGCCCCAGGTCTGGCTGGCCTCCCACAGGAGCCACAAGCCCATAGTCCTGATCTCAGCCTACCCAGCATTAGTGAAGCATTGACTGTGTACGAAGCTGTGACTGTGGACCAAGTCACTGGCACTACATGGGCCAGGTATGGCTCCTGCTCTTGAGAAGCTGACAGTCCAGTGCAGAGACTGATGTGGACACAACGTGGTAACTGCTCTGATGGAAGGAAGTGCCTTGGCCTGAGAGAGATTGATAAAGGTCACCGTATTCTTATGAGGCCATCAGGGAAGGCTTTTGCGCTTCTGGAGGAAGCACTGCCTGAATGGAGACCTGAGGGATGAGCAGCAGTCAGACAGAGTAAGGCAGAGGGAGGAGGGAAAAGCAAATGGCAGGAGGCTAGTGGAGGTGACTTTTGCTCTTTGAAAAAAGAGGAAAAACTCAGAGTTACATGGGCCTGGGCATTCTCCTCTCTCACATCTCACTTTATTACTGCTTGAGTACAGGGTCACTGTGACAAGGGTAGACTCTGGAGCAAGGTCTCCTGAGTTCAAATCTACCTATTAGCTGTGTCACTTGGGCAAGTTATGTAACTTCTCTGGGCCTTACTTTTCTCATCTGTAAAATGGGGTTGATGATAGTATAGTATCACTTCATAGGGTTACCACGAAGGCTGAATCAGTTAGTATGTGTAAAGTGCCTAGAACAATGCTTGGGATATAGGAAGTACTTAATAAATATTAACTGTTGCTATTACTATCTGGGAAAACAACAAAGCACTCAGGATACAACTTACTGGCTCTTGTTGGCAAAGCACAACTGTGAACCAAGGGGCATGGTAAAGGCTTAGAATCCAGCCCCTTCCATGAAGGAGAGCAGAGTCCAGACAGGTTGGGAAACCTGGTCCAATATGCTGACAGGGACTGCCACTCCTGGGCTGAGTACAGTGGACTTCAGGTCTTCTGCTCAAGGAAAAGCAAGATTAATGTGTGCTGGGCCATCAGGGTAGGCTCTGTGGAGGCAGTGGGAGCCTGAGGGATGAGTGAGCTTTGGAAGGAGAAGGCTCTTCAGGTTATGGAGGATGACTTGAGCAAAGGTATAGAGGTTGGATCCAATATTCCAGAACCCTTTCAAGTGAGGCTGAGCCACCAAATGCTTACAATCACAAACAACAGATGCTAGAGTTTCTAAGAGGCCCACTTTCATGGAATCATTTTAGAAAGCTAAAAACAATTAGAATGAACTCACTGGAGGGTATGCTGGGCCCAGAGTCTGCACAGACAGCCTTTCTGGGTAAGCAGTTGGTGGGCCTGTGGCTCAGCCTTCATAACAGGCATAAGATCCAGAGGATGAGCCTGATCTAGGAAGGGCCTGGAGCAGCTTCCTTGGTGCGCCTTCAACTTAGGGCCTAAGCATGACTCATTCCAGGCTGGCCGAAGCAGTGGTGTCACTAGGATGGTGCGGACTGCACCCCCGACTATCAGAGGGGGTGATACCAAAATGACCCTAGGGTCTCCCATGGTGGATTGGGCAGTGCTATAGGAGGAGGGGCTGCCAAGGCAGTGGCATCATCACTAGGGTTGATATCACACCTCCCCACTGCAGTAACTCATCAAAACTCCCCCTACCCTACACACTCACCAGACAGGGTGCTTGAAAGCTACACTTTAGAAAGTCATCAAGAATGAAAGGATGGTGGAGTACAAGATAATTTACAGTCTCAAAGTATTTCCCCAAAGATTACTTATTAATTATAAAGCAGTGGGGTGGTGGGGACTTTTCAGTGGAAAAGTCTAGTGAACTCCACCTTAACTAGTGCTCAAAGCTAACATCGCTAGTAATGGAATGAATGGACAAAAGTGCCTCCTAACATTATACCCTGAGAACAGAGTATAAACTTATGTAGTATTACTACTGAAAATGCAAAGCATGAATCTAATCGGGAGAGAAGAAACTGGGGGACATTCTATAAAACAATTGGCCTGCACTCTTCAAAAATGTCAAATATGATGCAAAGATATGCTAACGAATTATTCTATATTGAAAAGAGACTAAAGAGACAAGACAACTAAACGCAGTTTGAGAATATTGGGACAACTGGCAAAATTTAATTATAAAGTCTTTCTTTGAACCATATGCAATTTCCATTTTTATCAGCTAAATGCAGTCAAATATCAGCAATTTCACATGGTTCAATGTAAACAGATTAAGGTATGGTTATCAATGTTAAATTGCCTGGAATTGATCACTGTATTGTGGTTACCTAAGAGGATGCATTTGTTCTTAAGATATGTATTTTGGGGGGGGGGCAGAGAAAAGGAGGAAAAAAAGTGGTGACATTTGTTCATTGTGACATCTTGCAAATTTTCAAAATATAAAGTTAGACAAAATTCACAGAGAAATTACATCTGGTTCCCACCCCAGAGTAAAGCTTCAAGGTCAGTGTGGAAGACCTTCCCTATGTGGCAGTGGTGATGCACTTCATACAGTGGTTGTCACGTGGCCCTGCTCCACTCTTGGGCTTGGGGCTGTCACCCACCTGGGTTTCCAGTTCTGTGACTTCCAGGTTCAGTTTATTCAGGTGCTTGTTCACGAAAGTGATGAGTGTCTGAAAGAGAAGCACAGTAGGCATCTGAGATGGAGGGTCACCAGGCCAGACCCTGAAGGCCACTTCTTATGGGGACACGGGTAGCTGAAAACACAGGACAAGGCCAGCCAGGAACACAGGGCCAGGGATCCCTAGGCAGAGCCAAATGTGGATGAGCAGCCTAGGAGGCTGGTCCTACAAAGCCCCCACAGCTCCAGCAAGGGTAGGCGGGGCTGGCTCAGCTTTGCAGTCCAGCGCCACGTGGGATTCCGGATTCCAATTGGCAGTTTCGGGACTGTGAAAAGAACAACATTACAACAGGAAGTTCTAAGAGGCAGAATGACAGGGGGAGTGTCTGAGCCCAGGGTCAGGGTGAGCCTAAGGGAAATTAAAAGGGGCCAAAGAAGAAATTAACCCTACCAGGTCCCTCCTTCTTAGGTGCAGGCCCCTGTGCCCAAGGAGATAGAGAGAGATCTGTGTGAGGAGGCAGGGAAGGCTGGTGTTTGGTGCAGGTGGGAGGACAGAGTACTGATAACCTTAAAACTCTCCAGAGCTGTCATCCGGATAGGAGAAGAGAGGGACAGGATGAAGTATCAGTGAGAAGACAACATGTAAAATGACGTCAAGGGGGAAAGCCCTGCGTCTGCAGAGACTGGATTATACCAGTTTCAGAAGGAAGCTTGTAGGCTGCAGGGATGGGTTTTCATAATGTGTTGGCTGCATCTCCCTTCCCTGACTCCCTCCCAGGTCCCTGTTTCCCACCTTTTTCACCACGTTGAGCTTGTCTGGTGCATGGTCAAACAACGTGTCAAAGGCGTCACGTTCTGGAAAAGAGGAAAGCATAAAGTGGGGGCAGCAAGAGACCTCCTGAGAAGTCTATCCCCAGGTGTGGTACCACGAGCCTCTAAAGGCCACGTGGGCAGCAACAGATAGGAATTCTTTAGGATGTGAGGCAGTACTCGGAACTCTGGAATCTGGGCTTGGGGCTGACATGTGGGAATTGATCCTTACCCTAGGGGCCTTTCTCCATGTGCGCATCCACATGCTGGAAATGTGTCCACCCTCTTTTGAGGGGAAGGGGCTCTATCAGGCAGTTTGACCTGGGACTGGTCATTTCTCTTCACTATTTGTTTTATTACATCATGACCCAAGGGGCTCTGGTGTCACAACAGTTAAAGACTTTGCTGCTAACCAAAGGTCAGCAGTTCTAGCCCATGAGCTGCTCTACTGTGACCTGGTCTCATAAAGAATTCAGCCTAGGAAACCCTACGGGGCAGTTCTCCTCTGTCATATAGGGTCTGGTAGCATAGTGCCTAAGGCACTTGACTGCTCACCAGAAGGCTGGAGGTTCAAACCCACCAGCCACTCCTCGGAAAGAAGGTTGGGCAATCCTACTTCTGTAGTGATACTGCCTCGGAAACCCAAGGAGGGGTTGCTATGAGTCGGGGCCAACTCGACGGCAAACAACAACATGAATTGTAATAGTACACAACACCACCACAACATATCATGACTCAGTCACGGTTCAGAAGTGTTTCTGAAGGGTTTTGGAGGTAGAATGTTATGTAAATATCAAATCATTTCACCCTGTAATTTTCAAAAACAAAATGTCCAAGACAAACATCACAGTGAAGTGCATAGATAAAAGGATTGAGAGTCAGGGAGCCCCAGGGTAGACTATGAGCTCCTCTTCCTGAGTGACCTAGGTATGTTGTTGTTGTTATGTGCTGTCGAGTCAGACTGAGGCAGTATCACTACGGAAGTAGACTGCCCCATCTTCCTTCCGAAGAGTGGCTGGTGGGATTGAACCGCCAGCCTTCTGGTTAGCAGTCAAGTGCCTTAGCCATTATGCTACCAGAGCTCCCAGGGCTAGGTCACTTGAACTCTTTGAACTTCAGTTTCTTCTTCTATAAACTGTCATCTGAAAAATGAAGCTCCCCCAAGGTTGTCATAAGGTGAAAGGTGAGAATGTGTGTGAAAGTAAACTCGAAGGATCCTAGAGACATGAAGTGTTATTAGCATAACTGAATTAAAAATAATATCCACAGTAATAATCAGGATCATAAAAGGACCAAAGGCATATGGCCCCTTCAGGGACTTTCCTTACTACAGCTTCATTTTTCCCAGTTGAGAGATGAAATTGTGGAGGGGATCTGAGGAAGGGAATGAGAGAAGAGTCTCCCAGACGAATCTGGGTTGGAAGGGCTCATGACCCTGAGGTTTTGTCTTTTCCTACTCTTGTACCGATGGATGGGTAACTTTAAGATTGCCAGAAAAGTGATTGTCATTTCTGACATTCAGACAGAGAAACAAACCAAAGAACTAAGGGAAATGGGAGAGGTAGGAGTTGTGATAATGGAAGAGGGAGATGACAGCCTCCAGGAGGGCTAGGCAGAGTGGGGAGAGGGGACAGTCTCCGAATGTGTTCACATATTCTTCCTTTGCTCCCACAATATGCTTGGAGCAAAACTGCCCTGCAGATACCCAGGACCCATGCAGAAACCCAGCAAAGTGAATGCTCTGATCACTTCCAAGAGGACTGTGTCAATGTGGGTAGTTTTCTTCTTCCCACCAGTGAGCTGCCCCTCCCTACCCAACTGGCCCATGTCTAGGCTAGTGCGGATATATGTCCAGTCAGCAAATTGAGTGCCTGTTCTTTCCAGTGGCCATTAAACAGTTGCTGTAGAATTAACTAGAGTTCCACTGCAGTCACCAGCACTGGAGGATAATCTCAGGCAACTCACCATGCCTTCCAGAAAGAGCCCTGGAAGAAAAGGAAGAAGAAAACAGTGAGACTCTTCTCTCCTTACCCAGACCTCTGAGATAGTCTTCTACTACTGCTGGAAGCCCACTCCCACTCTGCCTACCCTTGTCGAAGAACTCAAAAACCCTCTTTCCTTGGATGTTTTATCATGTGCTAAGTCTTCTACTCAGTTTTCATCATATTGTTATCTATTTTTTTCCCTCTTAGACAGATAAACTGGTGTTAGTGCAAAGTCTGGTGCAATGATGCCTAAAAGACTGTATCTCATCTTAAATAAAATAACATTATTGCTTGCACTTGAGAAAGAATATTAGACTCAGGGACTCAAGACTGCCAACCACATTTTAGGAGCCGTGCTTGCTCAAGCAAACCCCTGACGTGGAACTGCATTGCCCAGGCTGTATGGACATGTGCTTGGAGAGGTCAGCTTTGTCTGTCTTCCATCCACACCATAATGCCCACCAAACTGCACCCATCATTGACTCATAGAGGACAGGAACTGTAACTGTAATTGCAGCAGGGAAGCAGCAAAAAATTCAGAGCAAAACATTAGAGAGGGACTACTTAGGTTTTAAATTCCACTCAGCCATTTTCTAGCTGTGTGACCTTGGGCAAGTTACTTAACCTCTCTGGGCTGCAGGTCTCTTATCTCTAAAATGAGGATAATAACAGTAAACATCTCCATGGGATGTTGTGAGCATTAAATGACTGAAGTTGTAGAAATAGTTTAGCATAATGCCCAGTATATAGTAAGTGCTCAATATATTTTTTTCCTTAATACATGTCTGGTTCTTTAGTATGACTCTTATTATATTCATTTATTCCAACTATACACCTATGACCCACCAAATGATCAATTGGGGTAATAATGTATTAGAAAGAACAATTAACTTGGTGTTAACTGTTGGATAGGTCAACAGTACAGACTTCATCACTTTTAGACTTTGGGGTTTTAAGGAATTTAATCATTGCCCTGTGTTTACTGTGAACATCAGTAAGATACGAAAGCACTTCATAAACTGTATTTTGCTTTCATTGTTAGAAGGCTGCATCCATGCTTATGTCTTTATGGTAGAGATGGCAGAGAGAGAACAAAAGAAGTCATAACATGCAGCTGACAGTGTTCTGGAATCTGACACTTCACACTCCCTGATTCAGGACTTTCTCATGGGCCATGCTCCTCTCAGGTACATCTTCCTCTTTTTCACAAGGTGAAAAAACACAGTCAGGTGCAGCAAGAGGTGAGATGCATGGACAGCAGGACATTAAGAAATTATCAGGCCTGACCTAGGGCACCTTTCCTCCCACTTCTCATGGAACCAAGGCCAAGAGTAGGTATTGCTCTACAGCCCGCCTCTCTGCTGTTAAGACTGGACCCTAGAGTGACGTGGTGCCTTTGTGATGAGGTCTACATACAATAGGAATCTTGGGAAGGGCCACCCTTCATCTCTGCCCCTATCCCTTGGCCTGAAATGCCCACACCCCAAGGCCTTTTCTAAAGCACAGTATATAGCGTGGTCTAGCCAGGCAGCATTACCAGGACGTGGGAGGAGTGTGCTAGAGATTGGGCAAGGCTTGGAAGATGTGGGTCAGCTGTGATGCAGAAAACCAGAAAAGGCAGTGATAAAGGGCAAGTGAAAAGAAGAATCAGCTGTTAGCACATGGAATCCTCACCAGCTTTCTGCAGGTTAGGCAAATACTGTCCACTTCAGAGATAAAGACACTGAGGTCAGAGAGGCTAAGGTACTCACCTGGTGAGGAAGTGGTAAAGCCTGAATCTGAACTCACATCCGGCTGACTGAGAGGCCCGTGCCCTTTCCGTTATGCGGCTATCATTCAAGGAAACCTAGATAACTGGTGGGGGAGCAAGGGATGCTGAAAAGTAATTTTGCCTGGCTTTGCATGTGGCCAGGGCATGGGTTTGCCCAATGACATCAGGCTCCCATACATTAATCTGTTCTTTCTGCTCAAGAACAAAACTCCTCTTTGCCATGGCAAACATCTTTTATGTTCTGATACTGCAATTTCTTAAAGCCGATGAAAAAGAGAGAGAAAAAAAAAACAAAACACTAGGGTAGAGAGGGGCTTTTGGGGTCATGGCACGTGACCAAATAAATCAGATTCAGAGAAGGAAGTAAAATGTCCTTTTGAAGGTTAACAATTTAAATTTAACCCCATGTTTATGGCGTGATGATTTCATGCTGGTTGGTTTTTGGGGGCACATTTTTTTTCCTGGAGTGCCATAAAATTAGAATTTTTCAATCACTGCTAATTCCCTCTCCCCACTTCCCCACCCAAGTTTGTACCTTAAGCATTGAGAGGCATGTTTTGAATGCATGGAAAAGGCTAAACTATAATCATTGGCTGAAGTCTAATCCCTCCTGCAATCCCAATAAATGAAAACTAAATATCAGCAAATGGATGAATTTCGGAGAAACATCTGTGTTCCATTACAGAATTGCTGGCAACAATGGTGTTGACATACTCTGTGTTACCAGTTATTTCCTCTTGGATTTGCCGAGACTGGAGGATTCCTTCTCTTTTCTGAAATGGGGGTGGGGAGTGGGGTTGGGAAGAGAAGAGAAAAATATGCTTTAGAAAAATACCAAAAAAACTGATTGCATTCCTGATATTGAGAAAGTTAGTGGTGTCTGAGGAATGAACTCAGGGACAAGATAGCGCTAGAGATGAAACAAGGCCCCTGATTTCCTGTCACTGGACTGTACCATTCCTACTTAAGTGCAATTAGTGTTTAGTCCAAACAAGTAGGCTGTTTCTTGGATGGTGAATCTTTTCATTCTTTATTGGAAGACATTTTGCTGGAAGCAAACTGTTTGCCTCCTGGAGTAATCCACAGTAAACCAAATGGAAATGAAGGCCAGGGTGTGTCTGCCCTCCAGCTGGGGCCACAGAGGGAAGCTGAGAGAAACACAGTTAACTGTAGGGTTGGGGTGGAGGAACTGAGGCCAATTTGGAGAATTCAGACAGAAGCAGAGTTTCTTTCTTTCTTTTTTTAACAGATAAATGGGAGTTTTTAAGTAAGCAGTACAGTCAGTAACTAGCTTCTTCTTTAGAAAAGATTAAGCACTTTGAAGGCCCATCTATTTGTTCATCCATCCACCCACCCACCCACCCACCCACCTATTCACCCATTCATCTGTTCATCTACCATCTGTCCCCCGTCCTATTAATTAATCCTTTTTCTTCTTTATTTCATTAATCAGTACTTTCTATCAACAAGACTGTGCTGGAGTGAGAGCAAATACTATGGACTTGGTTTCTGGACTCAAGGAAGTTCGAGTAAAATGGGGGAGATGAGGCAGGCACGTGTGAGAAGTTTTCCCTAACGGTCCTTGTTCATGCCTATTGTCCCCTTCTTAATTACAGGACCCCCTTTCACACTCAAAAGTGTTACAGGTGATAAGTTACGGTCTCCCTATGTAGAGAAGGGATGCTAAATGCAGGAAATGAGCGTGCTCTTCCAGCTGGGATGGTCAGAAAAACCTTCCAAGGGGAAGGGTCCTTGAGGTGGAACCCAGGAATTGACTAGGCACAGAGGAGCGGCCAGGCCAGGTAGGAGGCACAGCCTAAGCCAAAATGCAGGACCAGGACAGCACAAGTGTGTTTAGGAGGCTGTTCGGTGGAGGCAGAGTATTGGGAGGAACTAGCAGTGATCATGCCAGGAAGGTGGTTGTTGTTGTTGTTGTTGTTGTTTGCCGTCGAGTCAGCGCCGACTCATAGCGACCCCTCCTTGGGTTTCCAAGGCAGTATCACTACGGAAGTAGGATTGCCCAA